GGGAGGGCTGGAAAAAGTAATTCATGACTCAGGTTTATGTGCCAGGCAGTGAGTCAGGATAGAATACAAGGGAGGGCAGAAACACTCAAGGGTGAGTCCCTCAGCCCCTCCTCAGGCTTCTGGCTTGAGGGTACAGTTGGATGCTAATGAAATCACACAAATAAATGAAATTATACTTGTGGGAAGTGCTGCAGAGGGATTTTAGAATTTGCATTGGAAAAACTATTTACACTCACTTCCTTGGTGATCTCAGTCTCATGTCCTTAAAAACTAAATTAAAAACTCATTTTTTATCTCTAGCTCGGACCTCTGACTACTTGATGTATTTATCTGTTTTTTTACAGGCTTCTCAAACTTAACATGTTTCTATCTGAGCTCCTAATCTTTATCCCCCAACTCCCATGTCAGCTTCACCCATCCATTTGTCAGGTCAGATCCCTCAGGGTTGTTCTTGACTTCTTTGTCACACCATACCTCTCAGTTAGCCAGCACAATATATGTGTGAAACAATATACCCGTTTCACGCGTGTATTAAAAATAAAGTAAAATATCTCTTCTTCTGTATTGCTACCTTCTTGGCCCATCCCAGCTACTGGTCTTTTACCTGGGGTTTCAGGTGAGCACCTTCCCACACCAGTCTTCGTGGTTGCAGCCCTTCAGGCTTTTCTTCAATAGCCAGAGTTATCTTAAAAACAAGTCAGATCATGTCTCTCTGTGATACTTGGCTTCCCGAAGTAGCTGAAGTGTCATTCTAGTCATTTTATGTCATTTCATGACACTTGAGTAAAGGCCAAAGTCCCTCCTTTACTTCAACTGATTCCACTTTCTCTCTTTCTTGTGCTACTCCAGCCCCTCTGGCCTTCTTTGTCTTGAGTGTGCCTGTCTCACTCCTGACTCTGGACATTTGCTCCTGCTTTTTCTTCTGCCAGAGTGGTGTCCCTTTGTACGTTCTAATGGCTTCCTCTCTAACATTCTTTCTTACTCAGGAGCAGAGCCACCTCAGTAAGAGCTTCCTTGACCATTATTTAAAATTGCAGTCCTCCTACCCTTCCTGTTTCTACTGAATTCTTCATTTAAGATCTTTTCATGTAATAAATACACACACACACAGTTGTGAGTACGCTGCCTATTCTTGTATTACTACTTATTAATCATTGTATTTTCTATACAAACAACTGTAAACCGACTTTTGCCCTACCCTATGCATGTTTGTGTGTGTATGTGTATAGAGGAGACAGAGACCTCCTTCCCTTGAGTGTCACTTAGTTATAATGTTGATGAGGTGCTGTAGGGACTCAATTCTCATTTAGCCTGTGGGAAAATTGGTTTTGTTACACATTGTTTTGCCAGAGGTCCAAAGAACCTATTGAAGACATTAAGTGAATATTATTATCCTGTTGTTTGTAGCAGGGGTGACAAACTCATTTTCACCCCTTGCCACATCAGCCTTGCGGTTGCCTTCAAAGGGCTGAATATAATTTTAGGACTGTATAAATGTAACTACCGGGGCCACATCAGCCTTGTGGTTGCCTTCAAAGGGCTGAATATAATTTTAGGACTGTATAAATGTAACTACTCCTTAACAGTTACTCTGTGCTGCTGCTGGGTAGAAACAAGATGCCAGGCCAGATAAAACAAGGAGGAGGGCCGGATTCGGCCTCTGGGCCTTGTGTTTGTCACCTGTGGTTTAGGATCTGTCTTCCCTGCCTCTCGACCTGCTTCACAAGGGCAGGGAAGTTTGTGTGGTTCTCTGCTGTTTTCTTGACACCTAGAGCAGTAACTAGCACACAGTAGGCATTCAGTAGACATTGATTCAATGAATAGATAGATTGCTGTGACTCTGATGTGTTTTATATTAGATCTTCCTTTTGTTTTTGTTAAAGTATTTCATACCATGTTGCCTGTTTAACTGGATTGAACTGTGGATCAGCAGAGATGCTTTCAGCATGTTTGACTTTCTTCCTGGAGAAAACTGTCTTCTTTTTTGGGGAGGAGAAAGCAAAGTGAGTGTGTTCCTAAATCTGTCTGAATCATCAGCATGGATACATGCAGGAAAAATTGGCACCTGTGAAGAGCTGGTGACCCTAGCCGCACAGATTATAACCTGAGCAGCAGGTTGGAATCAGGTCACATGGGATTTACCTTTGGAAAACCTGCCTTAGAATCATTGGCAGTGTGGCTGTGTGCAAATGATATCTTCTTAGTTCTTTTTCTGAGGTGGGTGAGGTGACTTCTGTCTGGTTCATTTTATTAACTTGTTGAAAGAAAGGATCAAATGGGATTATTACAGGGATCTGTAAACTCCTTATTGTTACAAATATGCTGCTGTTGTATTGTCTAATTTGTAGATCATTTTTACTAAGTTGAAGTGACATCTACCTTCTCAGCGCCATCTGGTTTCTGTATGGGTCCCTTGTCTTGAATGTCATATTAATGTTGTATGTTGGCCATTGTATAATGAGGCTTAGAAAAATTATAATTCTATAGGAAATACAGAGAAAAATGTTTATATCCTCACTGAACTATATATTAGAGCCAAATAGAAATGGTAATTTGATTGATTTTTGCATTGTAATCCAGGGTTCTTAGTGATCTTAAAGTTGGGCTACACACACATGTAGTTGATGCCTTGTCTATCGTTTCTTTTCTTTTCCTTTTTTTAATTTTTATTATCCTCACTTGAGGACATTCTCCTCCTATTCTCCACCCACCCCAGCATTGCTTTTAGAGAGTATGGGAGAGAGAGAAACATCAGTGTGAGAGATCAATTGGTTGCTTCCCTTGGTTGATACCTGCCCTGGCAGGGTGGGGAGGGGAGTCACATATGCCTGGACCAGGGATTGAACCTGCAATTTAGGCATGTGCCCCAATCAGGGGTTGAACCCACAAACGCTGTGGTTATGGGATGATGCTCCAATCAACTGAGCCATACTGGCTAGGGCTCTGTTGTGTTTTTTTTTGAATTTTTCTTCCTTGCTTACTCTTGGCAAAAACAACTCTGATTTCTTTGTGAATAGAAACACAATGTATGATTTTTAAGGAGTTGTGTTGAATGTACAATTTGGATTTCCTTCCTTCTTTTTGAGTGCTAAGTAATATTTTTACTCAATTTCCTAGAGTAGTTATCTTGTTTGCCATAGGGAGACTGATCTTTTTCTTACATTTATCAGAAGTCTGTCTGTCGTACATATGAGAATTTTTCAGCCTAAGCTCCTTGCTCTTTTTGGACTTCTGGTAGCCCTGGGTATGTTTTCAATGCCAGAAGAGTGTTTTAGCAACTGTGTAAACTAATAATTTTTTCTCTTCCATGATTGGCTTGTTTATGCCTTAAACTTAAGTCCAGTGGAGAAAGTAATATGTCTCTTTCTGTATTTTCAGTTGCTAACACCAGTGGCTTACTGGGACTTGGGATTTTATTACTATCTACTTAACAGATGATTCATCTAGGTGGGAGTTTTGTAGGCACTAGAATAATTTTTCATTTTTTGGAAATATGTTTAGAAAATTATAATCCTATCTGAAAGCATATTTGCTGTGTAGAAGGGAGTGATCTCAGTTTGTACTACATGCTTTCACCTTTCTAACTTTCTTTGTAGATTGTCAGGATTATTGTGTCTTCATTGGTTTAATACCAAAGGTTGTTAACATTTTTTAATTTTTGTAATGCCTAAGGGTATTTGAAGTGCAAATGGGAGGTCCTTTCTGGTATCAGCTTTGACCTCTGAGCTTTGGAGAAAGTATATGATAATTTTTAGGTTTTTTTGGCATGACCAATGAGAATTTCCTTTGCTTCTGAAACATATAATTGCAAACTGATTTGTTTGTTATTGTCAAAGTCAAGAGGACCAGTCTTTTGGTTTTTACTTGGCTCTAGTAACATGAGAAATAGATGGTTTTCAAATTAATCAGTTGCCTCCTTTTTTTCCATTGGAGCATTGAGGTAAGGGCCATGAGTTTTTCCTTCACTGTACTTTTAGTTCCTAATGACTGGCACATAGATAGTGTTTGGTATTGTTGAACACATTAGATGAGATAGTGGGGAAAATGATTAAAGAATGGAAAAGATAAATTACTGGTTATTATGTCTGTTCCAAAACTGACCTATAAACAAAATATTTTTCCCTCCCTATAAAATTTTTATTAGAATTGGTGTTTATTAGAGTTTGGTATTACTCACTCTTATTATTTTAAGCTCTTAAATTTACACTGTACTTTTTGGGTTTAGTTCTGAGGAGTAGTTTAATTAGGGAAGCTATGAATAGTGAGAATTTGGAAGAATGTAAAAACTACCTAATATTTCCTAAAGATAGAAGGTTGTTTTGGAAACTGTTATGTTTGGTTAAGGTAGAGATAATATATCTTTAGAGAAACCATTTGTCTTGGAAAATAACTAGGATAGTAGACTTAGAAGATGTGAACAATTGTAATCAAAGGCAAGAAAATCTACTTTGGAGTTGTCACGTTTATTTCAGTCAACTCTTAAGTTTATTGTTGGAGGGGCTCTGGAAATTCAGAGAAGTGGCTAGAAAGCGTCTTAAGAAGATAGTAACACTGTGAGATATCCTGAGACATTTCCCAAGGCTATATAAATCATGTTTTTTTTTTCAGGTGGTAATAATATTTGCTATAGATTCTTTTTCTTCTAAGTTAATTTTATGCTGTGAAGTGCCTTTTGTATATTTGTACCCATTATTGTTGTTTACCAGTGTACACTTTCCTTAAAAAGGAGAAAAGAATTGATGTACAGAAAGTATAGTTTATCTTATGCATTAGACTTTTTTTTTTATTACTGCTATTATAGAAAATTCCAAATCATATGCTAGCTGAGGCCAAAACTGGATATAATTAATTTTTGTAAATCACTTGCACTGTTTTTCCTATGGCTTGTGAGAAGTTTTTAGGGTTAAAGCAGGAGTTAGAAATTCATTTAACAAGCATTATTTTAGGAAAAATGTATGAGGAAATTATAAAGTAAAACCAATTTCTCTTTTTTCTCCTAGCATTTTTGAAACATTGGGGTTGTTGGAGTGGTTGGATTTTCCCTGGAATTGAGTGAGAAATTCAGAAGACTGAAGCCCAGGCTTACTGTCTACCTTTCACGGAGGCCTAGCCGTGAGAGGACAGAAGAAGGCACGTGGCGAATCATGACAGCTGACAAAGACAAAGACAAAGACAAAGACAAAGAGAAGGACCGGGACCGAGATCGGGACCGAGAGAGAGAGAAAAGAGACAAAGCAAGAGAGAGCGAGAATTCAAGGCCACGCAGGAGCTGTACCTTGGAAGGAGGAGCCAAAAATTATGCTGAGAGTGATCACAGCGAAGATGAGGACAATGACAATAGTGCCACCACAGAGGAGTCCACAAAAAAGAACAAAAAGAAACCACCGAAAAAAAAGTCTCGTTATGAAAGGACAGACACTGGTGAGATAACATCGTACATCACTGAGGATGATGTTGTCTACAGACCGGGAGGTGAGGAGCATTATTACATTGGGGTCTTTACCAAGTGTTTGTGGAGGGGAAGCGACACCAGCATGCAGGTGCATTTTTGCCTGGTGAGGCAGGCATGGAGCCCAGAATGGTAGATGGCATCCTGGGTGGGCAAACTCAAGGTAGTGAGCACCTTGACCCACTTTGGCCAGTTGGATTTACTTGCTTCTTACTTGTGTCTGTCACCACATTGTCTTTCCTGTTGTTGTGGGGTGTTTTTTTTCACTTGTCAGTGCTTCCCTTGTTTTCTACTGCTGCTGCTTCTCTCCTCTAGCCTTCAACATCTGCTCAGTGGTTTTCATATTTGGACTTCACTCAGATTAGGATGTAGTGACTCTGGTGGAACCAGTAGACCTTAGGTTCTTGGAGACAGGAAATTTTACATGAGCTGTAGAAGAGACCAGAAGCTAGAGACTTGTTTTTAATGACCTTCAGACTAAGGTTTATTTCTCCTCATAAGCTTCTTTTCTAAAGAATTGAGCTTTAGGCTCTGTAATCAGTGATAATAGATGAAGCCAAGTAACCTACTTTGTTTTTCAAAAAATATACTACTGAGGTTTCATAACACTGTTCAGAGAAGACACAGACCTAGTTTTCAGGTGAGATGTGGGGAAATAAGGGATTCAGAACCTGTTGGGCACCAGCAAAACCTTCCTTTTTCATTTAATGTATTATATGTATTAATATACTTTTCTTACGCAAATCAGTAAAACTAGCTAAAAGTCATTTTTAATTACTTCTTGCTGCTGAGGAATGACATGAATTTCATATGAGCCACAATTAATAGATTAAAAGCCCCCTAGTTTGATGTTTGTCCAGGGAATGGAGATCATAAGGTGATTATTGTGCTGTTAACCTGGTACAGCTGTTTTACTGAGGAGTACTCTGTTTTGAACTTTGCATAAAGTATCATTCTTTCCTCTCCTCCCCTCTGCCCCCAAATTAGTCTTGAATTTCTAAAGAATCATTATTTGAATTTATACTGGTAAACTTATATTCACAACTACAGTTTCTTGGTTGATATTATTGGAAGATATTTACATAATATAAAGTGATCACAGTTGAGGTTGTAGGGAGAATTAAAGCTCTGCTGCAGAGACTCAATAATGTGTAGGTCACCCTACCGTCAGTGTCTTTGATTCAGACTTAGATAATAGACAGTAAGAATTCCTTAGCCACTGAAAACTGTCTCATCACAGAGTTAGCACAAAATGCTTGCTATAGACCTATTTAGTTCTAGATCACAAGAAAGGAACAGAATGTGTTAAATATATATTATGGTGATAACTTAAAATAAGATCTTATTTGTTATCCTTTTTTCTTGGTGCATAATAATTCAATGTGGTAATGTGATCATTTCGATCATTGTCTGAAGGCCAGCTGCCTAATGCAGTATTGAATTCCAGCCTTTCTGAATGGAATTTAACTCCTGTGTCAGTCAGCCACGATACTTCCCTCAGATGTTTGCAGTCAGATACATGTGGCAAATGCTGCACACATGTCCCTCTTGTGAGAGAGTATCATGATTCAGAAATTCTGCAGTTACAGAAACCTCCTTACTAGTTAAAAAAAAAAAAAAAAGGAAAAAAGAAACCCAACCTTGCCCTTTTCTCCATTTATGGGACTATGGCACACTGTTTCTTCTGAATAACTCCCTAAGAAAAGCCAGTTTTGAGAGAACAGCTTGGGAACTGTTCCACATACATGCGTATTGCACCTTCTACAGGATGATGGGAAGCCCTTCCTGCTTGAGGTTTAGAAGAGGGTGTGGTGGAGGGAGGTTGCTAAGGGCTTATTTACATAATGCTTTGGGAATAACTGAGGACCCTTGTGAAATGTGAAAAAGATAGCTCTCTTTGGGTGCTAAATATCTTGTTATAAAAGATGTATAGAAACCAAAAATGACCACTTTGTGCGAAGGGCTCCTTGTGCTTGGGTGGGTGATGTTGCTGTGGCCTAGCATTTACACCTTGTCAGGTCCAGTGGATGCTTGACTCTTTGGTAAGGAGACTGTCTTTGACCTCATCAGTGGTTGCTTTTCTTGGGGGAAGAAATTTCTTGGCATTCAAAACTAAATGACTTCAGTTGCCTTCTCAAAAAAGCTCCTTTCTAAATGAAGGGTTGTTACATATTGCCTATTAGGTTTATCTAAACTGAAGGATCAGAAGGAGGGTACTATGATTAGGTTCGCAGATGGGACTGGATTCCTTTCCTTTCCTTTTCCCTTCCCTGTCCTTTCCTGTCCTTTCCTGTCTTTTCCTGTCCTTTCCTGTCTTTTCCTGTCCTTGTCTTTCCTCATGCAACTATAATAACATCTTTTATTAGTGATAAAAAACAGTTATCCTCACCCAATAGCAGAGATTTAGTATGCGTAGTTATACCTTAATGTTTAGGTGGGAACTCTATGGGACATCATAAGGGATTTCTTCAGGTATTGTTAGTTGTTGAATGGTAGATCTTTTATGCTCATTTGTTTCTGTAGGGTGTAAAGCACAGATTTTATCATTTTTCTTTGTACTCTTTTGAACTGGTTTTAATACTTAGATTAAGTGTAAACTATAGGTACCTCCTAAATGTCATTAAGAATGAGTCAAGTACGTGAAAGACAAATACCATATGATCTCACCATTAACAGGAAGCTAAATAACAAAACAAACAAGCGAGCAAAATAAAAACAAGGACACAAATTGAGAACAGGGGGACAGCGACCGGAGGGGAGAGGGGAGGGAATTTCAGGGGAAAAAAAGGAAGGATTTACAGGAACTAGCATGAAGGACACATGGACAACTACTAAGGGGGGTGGAAAGGGGAGGGAGGTAGGGGGTATGGGGGGCGGGCTGGGAAGGGAGTAAAAGAAAGAATACTGTAGTTGAAAAATAATTAAAAAAAAAGAATGAGTCAAGTAGTGAAGTGATACTGTGAGGATAAAAATAGACTACTATGTAACTAGCTTTTATCCTAGGGGAAGAGGTCTGTAATCAGATCATTTAGTCTGAGAAGAATGAGATTTTATTGACAAATTGGGTATTACTTAGAATTTAACACTAGCTAAGGTTTAACTTCATACATGTCATAACCAGCTTTTTTGCCCTAGCTCCTTATCTCTGCAGTTATCTTCACTTTGTTCATAGGAATTCAGCATAATGGACTTCTAGTTACACTGTCCAAGTTACCCTATGCCCTGGGTCCTTCGTGCTTGCTGTTGCTGCAGGCTAATGAGCAGCCCCCAGACACACCCTTCCTTCCTTATTCTTTCTTCAGTTCTTCCGTTCTGGGGTCTTTTCCTCACCCAGGTTACCCAGCTTACCCAGCTTTCTTTCAGAGATACTGTCATGGCATTGTGTATCTTTTAGCACTAATAATTGTCTACTTTTTTTCTGTTTTTGTTTTAGTATCAATATGTCCTTCATAAAAACAGCAGTTCTGTTTGTTTTTTTTAAATTGTATCCCTGGCATCTATGGCAATAGTGTACCCATAGTGTACGTTCTATATTTGTTGGATAAATACATTTCTGAAAATCTTTCAGAAATCTATTGACTGATTAATGATGTAAAAATTAGAATAATGCTTCTGGAAGTCTATTTTGAATAATTTATTTCCCAATGAATGATTTAACAGACTTGTTCTAAAATAAAAAACAAAACAGACTTTGAGGGGCCCTGTTATATTTTGCCCTTGTCTAAATTCTTTGCTGTCTGTTAGCCATTACTCTACTTTTGAGAAGACTGTCACCATAACAAATCAATTTATTTGTCACACAGCTGTGTGCATTCAGATTTCCCTTTTGGACTTTTTAGCTTAGTATACTGATTTCTAAAGTTTGCTCTGTGTAGCATATTACTTTCTTTATACTACCTCTCCTCTCCCCACAGTTTAGTTGAGATATAATTGACATATAAAATTGTTTGTACCATGCATTGCTTTTATATATGTATATATTGCAGAACAGTTACCGCAAACATCCATAAACTCACATCGTTACATTTTGTTTTATGGTGAGGACTTTCAAAATCTACTCTTATAACTTTTAAATATACAATGCAGTGTTAATTAGATTCATCGTACTATACATTATGTCCCCTGAGTTTATTCATCTTTGGAAGTTTGTACCCTTTGGCCACCCATATCCCACGCCCCACCCCCCAATCACTAATCTGTTCTCTGTTTGTATGAGTTTGGTATTTTTAGAGTCCACATATAAGTGAGATCATACAGTGTTTATCTTTTCCCCCTTCTGACTTTTTCATTTAGCAAAATGCCCTCAGGGTTCATCCATGTTGTTGCAGATGGCAGGATTTTATCCTTTTTTTATGACTTGAGTATATTACATTGTATATACACTATATTCTCTTTATTCATTCTTCCCTCAGTGGACACTTAGGTTGCTTCCATGTCTTGGTTATTGTAAATAATGCTGAAATAAACTCAGGGATGCAGATATATCTTCAAGATAGTGACTTAATTTCCTTCAGTCATATACCCAGTAGAACTTGCAGGATTATATAGTAATATTTCCGCTTTTTTGAGGAACCACCATACTGGTTTTCACAGTAGCTATGCCAATTTGCATTCCCATCAACAGTGTATCCATTCCTTTCAGTTAGATACTGTTCCTGACCAGGCAAACGGTAAAAAACTCAAATTATTGGAAGTTATTTTTTCATTTTGGCATATTAGTTTTGTTCTTTTGCTAAAGAGACATGTTCTTTAAAAAGTGATTATTAAGCTGGTTCTCCATTTCTTGTATTCTGTCATAATATATCAACTAATAATTTTATTTGACCTTTCTGGAGTATTTACCCTGAATATTAGTCCTAGAAAAACAGAAATTTCCATTACATACGAGAGGGGGAAAATCAAAGTTCAGGATTTTCAAATTTGGCATATCTGTGTTTTTTCTACTTTTTGAACAAAGTGTGAAATTTTACATGAAGGTAAATTTTATACATAAAAGACAAAGAACTTTTAAGTTCATGGTTTA